TAAAATATACATTATGTATCTTGTAGTTACTTTAGGTTTATTTTTTGATGTCTGAAGTCAGGATTTCAGGGGGTCTTCCTCGATCAAACCAGATTTTCCATAACCCAGAATGAATCCATAGCCTTTCATTTTCTGTGCAAAAACAAAAACAGAACCTCTTTTCTGAAGTAACATATCTTTTGACTTAAATTTTGAAGTCAAGATATTTGTAAATATGTAGGTTGGATTAATCCAGCAACATTTATAATCAAATGTCTCTTAGCAGCTGTTGTTTCTTCCTCCACATTCAAACAATTCAAAGACAACTCAGTAACATACAGTATCCAGACTCTGCATATTTTCCATCTTTACGTGGCTTTTTTATTACTTTACTCCCTTTTTAAGGACTTTCTATTTTAAAATTATATATTTATTTTTTATGACTGTCTATACCTTATCTTTTCTCTTCCAAGCTTGTATGTGTGTGTGTGTGTGTGTGTGTGTGTGTGTGTGTGTGTGTGTGTGTGTGTATACATACATATATATATTTCCACTGGAAATCTTCTAGAAATATATATATATATTTTACAAGACAGGGTTTCTCTGCGTAGGTTTGTGCCTTTCCTGGAACTCACTTTGTAGCCCAGGCTGGCTATGAACTCACAGAGATCCACCTGGCTCTGCCTCCCAAGTGCTGGGATTAAGGGCATGTGCCACTACCACCCGGCACCTATGTATATTTTTAAACACACTGTAACACATTTAGAGGCTTTTTTCCATATGAATCTGTCTTTATTCTGTATCTCTAACCCTTTTTGTCTGTATGAGCAGAAACCCTAAATCTATATTATAATTTCAAATATATATTTTTAAAGATTGAAGATAAAATAAAGGCCTTCTCTGGTAAGAGACCATTGTAGTTTGAGTAGACTGGCTCCCCTACACTCATGTGTTTGAATGTTTTGCCCATAGTGAGTGGCACTATTAGGAGGTGTAGCCCTGTTGTAGTAGGTGTGGCTTTGTTGGAGGAAGTGTGTCACTGTGAAGGTGGGCTTTGAGATATCATATTCTCAAGCTAGACCTAGCGTAGCAGTTTCTGCCTGCTGCCTCTGGATCCTGATATAGAACACTCAGCTCCTTCTCTGTCACTATATCTTCTGGTATGTCACCATATATTGTGCCATGATGATAATGGACTAAACCTCTAAAACTGTAAGCCATCCCCAACGAAATATTTTTCTTTGTAAGAGTTATGGTGGCCACAGTGTCGCTTCACAACAATAAAAATTTAACTAAGAGAGAAACATTTCAAAAAAAACATATCAACCATAAAATTCAAGTTGGATTTATTAAAAGATGTGGGGCCATTATTATGTAAAGTTACAAATGAAATGAATCATACAAATGCTAATGAAGAGACAAATCAAATGATTGTTTCAATAAGTATACAAAAGGCCTTTGACAATGTCCAAACTCACCATAATAGAGGCTATATATTATAAATACACAGTCAACATACCGTACATGGAGAAAAATTCTAAGCAACCCTATTAAAATCAGGAATTAGACAGGAATGTCCACTATCCCCACTCCTTTCAAATTCAGTGGTTAAACGTCTAACCAAAGAAGTAAGTTAAGTGAAGAAAATGAGATGACAACAAACTGGAAAAGAATTTGATTCATCCCTATTTATAAATGATATATTATAAAGGAGAGATCTCCAAATTACAGTGGAAATCTTCTAGAAATGATCAACACATTGAGCAAAGCAACAGGATACAAAATTAACTTACATTAAAAAGTTGTCTCTACAAGAGTGTTCCAGCACTTCCCCTCAGGACCCCTCAACCACCAGGGTTCCACTCATCAAACACTCTAAGTGCCCTAATGGCCAAACTTAGCACCCACCCTATACAGTAATAAGCCCAAGCTCTGGATTTGACATCCCACCAATCTGCATCCTGTAAAGCTCTGTCCACTAAGAAGCACTATAAAAACCTATCTTCTCAGTTCTCTGCTGCTTCTCACCTGAGCAGAGTCAGCCACACTCCTGAGTTTTTCCACCCCAATAAATCTCTTGTGTGAGTTTTATTGTGTGGTGTGATTCTGTGATATTCCTTGGCTCCTGACTCTAAGATTCCAGGATACCTTTTCCCTCAGGGTTGTAACACTTACAATCTTCACACATACCAATAACAACAAAATGCTGAAGAAGACTTCATGGAACTGCTTCCATTTACAATAGCCTTAGGACAAATAAATATAACTAGACATAAACCTAAATAAGGAGGTAAAAAATTTCTATAATGAAGAAAAATATTTATCAAGATACTGGAAGATATAAAGATATTCCAGGACATAGATTATTTGATTTAATATTATGAAAATGAGCAATGTGCTACAATACTTTGGAAATTCAATGCAATGCTCATCAAAATTCTAATGAAATTATTCACAGAAGGAGAACAAATGTCCTAAAGTTTCAATGGAAGCACAAAGATCCCAGAAATACAAAGAACAAATCTGGAGCAATTACCTATTTTCAAGTTGTATTACACAGCTATAATGATAAAACTAAAATAGAAATGGTACAAAACAGACTTGCAGATCAACAGAAAACATAAGAGGATGCTTCATCGGTGCATAAAATTACAGCCACCTCATTCCTTTCTTTAGTTTCTTTTTTCCCCATTTAAAGACAGAGATTTTTATTCTTTTTGGTCCAAACAGGGTATTTCACATTATCTCCCAGTATAGAAGCCCCTGTGAGTCATGTGCAAAACTTCAGGGATGGGGCAGATCCAGCAGAGTTAATCAGGCTTATACAGAAAGAGCTGGGAGATACAAAACCCAGAGGAACCAGAGAGGGCTGCAGGTGTGACACAGGGACTTCTCACTCAGTTCCAAACCCCTATTCAGACCTCAGTTAACCCACTGGGAAGTGGGAGGGTGAGGTCTGAGGGCATTAGGAAGACAGAGTCCCTCAGAACGTCTGCAGTAGTACTTGAAACCCTTGGATGTACCCACATTCTTTTCCCTGAGAAAACAGCAAAATACAAAAGCTCTTGTTTTCTTTTATTGAAACTGTCTGCAATTTACACGAGTTTATAAACAAGAGACTGATGTGAAAGAGATGAAGAAATCAAAAACTTTGTGATGCCAGCCTCCACTTGACACATGCAAAGCTTGACCCTTAGCCTGCAGGGAAATTCACAGCCTGGTTGTCCCACCCTATTGTCTCCTGCATGTTGTGTCAACACTGAGATGGAAGCAAAACATGTTGGGGGAGAAGAGAAGATGGGTAACTCATGCCTGTTGTCAGCTCTCAGGAACCTGAGGCAGGAAAATTATGATCAGCTACAGGACAGACATTGCTACACAGTAAGGCCCAGTTTCAAAACAAACCAGAATAAAAAAAAGAAAGGGAAAAACAAAACACCAAAAGTGTGTGGTGTATGCATCTTTAGTCCCAGCTGTGTACAAGCAGAGGAAGGGAAATGTACTCTGTGAGTTTGAGGCCAGCTTCATCTACAGAGTGATTTCCCACACAGCCAGGGCTACAGAGTGAGACCCTGTCTCCAAACAAATCAACAACAGAAACAACCAATAAATAAATTAATTAATAAAAGGAAGAAAAGAAAACAGAAAATCAACAAAAAAATCCACAATAAAAACACAGAAAAACACAAAACCCCACACAGGGTGCTGATATGGTGAGCTAACACCCTTTTGTGTTCAGTTTCTGATCCCCTCTGGGCAGTAGGTCATCAGGATCTTCACCCTGGCTGTCATCTCTGATTGGAGCCCAGTCAGCTGATAAGTCCTACGGGAATATGTGGAGTCATATTGCCACCCCAGACTAAAGACATGGCAGCTCTGGTCAGTTCCCTGAGTGTAATACATCTTCAGGGACATGAAAGAGTTATCATACCTGTCATTGCCCATGTTGATGTTGTAAATGTGTTTCTGGTTCCCTGGAGTTATCATGCACACCTGACTGACATATGTATTTGTGCCCACCTGGAGGCTGATGGTCCATGCATGGTAGAAGCACATCACAGAGATATCACCTTGTACTGTATATCATTATAGACTTGCTTGCATACTTGTTGGTCTGTAGCTCAAAGATGAAGTGGCTGGCCTTCACAGTAGTATCATCAAAGTTCCTCTGTTGTTTCTCTGAGTATTTGATCCTAATATCCACAGAACTCTGCAAGCCTTAGTCTTGGCCTTTCCCACAAGTGGAAGTATATACACTTGCATCTGTGTCATATTCCTGTTCTTGAACAGGTCATTGCACTTAAAGTGGTCCATGGAGTTCATGCCATAACTGACCATGGCCTTGATGAAGCTGGAGAAGTTTTCTAGCAGTTAGCAGTTCTGCATAGAGTGGTTGGTCTTGGGGACAGAGAGAGCTGCAACAGGTTCATGATTGTTCTTAGGATGACCCAATCCCTGAGACCCTTCTGGAAGTTGGGGCCAAAGGATAGATACATGAAACACTTGACCCAGATGTGGAGTTTGGCTTCCTTCTGAGTGTTATTTTTGGATGGGAGCTGGTTCTTGACCTGAGAGAGGAGCCTTTAGGATTGTCTTTTGTTAATCTACATGGAGTTCATGGTATGTGGCACCTGTGTAGGACCAATGTGGACCAGAGGAAGTTACTGTTATCAGACACTCATATTTTTGAAAGGTACCAAAAAATACACAGTGAAGTACAGTTACCATCTTCTAAAAATTGTTATAGGAAAAACTGAGATCCATCTCTGTGAGAATTAAATTGTACATATATCTATTACCCTGCAGTAAAACCAATTTCAAATGAATAAAATAATTCCATGTGAAACCTGAAACAATGACTGATTTTTAAAAAATTAAGACATTAGTGGTTTTCAGAGACTAAATTACAATTTAGATAATCATGCCATTCTCTCATTCTACATAGTATGGATATCAGGGTAGGTGGATATCTCAGTTGCTTTTTTATTGCTATGAAAAAAAAACACACCATGACAAAAAGCCACATCAAAAGAATGGGTTTATTTCATTTTATTTCTTATATTCCACCATCCAGAGAAGTCAGGACTGGCTCAGGCTGGAACCTTGACACAGGAACTGAGGCAGAGTCCATGGAGAACTACTTCTTACTGGGTTGGTCCTCGTGCTTTCTTTATCCTGCTTTCTTATGGCACCCTGGTCCAAACACTCAGATGTGGCAAGATTCCCATTGAGTAGTGCCCTGCCATAACAATTATCAGTTGAGAAAATGTACTACAGGCTTGTTAACAGGCCAATTTGGTGATGGTGGTGGTGGTGGTGGTGGTCATAGTGGAGGTGGTGGTGGTCTCAATTTATGTTCACTGACTTGCACCAATTTGACATAAAACTAGCCATCACAGTGGATAATACCATTTGTCCATGTGGTTGGATTAAATTTTATCAGGCATCTTAAAAAATGACTGAATGTATTTCTGAAACTATGTACACAGAGGATGAAGTGAAGGGTTGATAAACGGTCTGAAGTTGGCTTCGTCATCCTATAATGTAACGTCAAGGGAAGAATTAAGGAAAAATTAAGACAGATAGCCGAGAGTGAAGATAAACTTCTCCCTGGATCCTGATCTACATGGATATCAGTAAGTAATCTTATGCTTCAAGCTGCCACGCCTTCCTTGCCAAGATGAGCATAATGTACTCAAACTGCAAGACAAATTATAACCTTCCTCAAATAATTGCATCACTTCAGGCATTTTTTAACTATGAGGAGTGAGGTAAATAAATAACCTAGAGAAAGAATCCAAATGATTAGAAGAAAAATGGATAGGAGTAGTGCAAATGAAAGTCAATCACATTTGCATACAATGAGCTCCTATATTTCAAAGAAAATGGGCTGCATAATAAAACACTAAGATTTAATAGTTTCACCAATTAACAGGACAAAAAATATACATATAAAAATTATACTTTTAGCCATATAAAAATTGATGGAAGGTATTCAGGAAAACATGTATGTTCCTATTGTCTTTTAAACTACATAGTATAAATCATATTCATATGGTTAAGAACATCTTTAGAGACCATTTTAATTCAGCATAATAAATGGAAGAAGGCACTAGGATACAGGAAATATTCCCATGTTACAAGATCAAAAAAATTAACATTTTAAAAATGACTGTGTTGCCAAAAGTAATAGTGATATTCAATATGATTCCCATAAAATTTCCAAATATATTCCTAACAGATAGAAAAGTAAGCACTAAAATTCTTAAGGAAGCAAGGAAGACAAGAAATAGCCAAGTGATTATGAGTCAAACATTCAAAGCAGTTATTCAGAAAACACAATGCAAAATGTATATAACATCACCTGTTTTAAAATACATAGAAATCAGAATCACACACACACACACACACACACACACACACACACACACACACACACACTTGTTGTTTAGGCAAAAAAAAATCATATAGGAGCTCATTGAGTGTATGCTAAATGATAATAAAAGGGATAGTAACAACAAACCTTGAGCTACATTTTCAATAAAGCAAAATGTAGTTTCTTATATCATTTTATCCTCTTTTGCCTCCTCCTGTTGATTCCTTCTATCTAACCTTTCTGTATTTATCATAACATCTACCAGAAGAATGTATTTTAAACCTAGAACTTGGAAGAAACTATCTCAAATTCTAGGCTATGTCTTTAATAAGTTAGTAACATACCTTATATCAAGTCCCCAAATGTATCAGTGGTCACACCAAATTAATCTCTCAACATATTATTATTTTCTTCTCACCCCATATATTTATAGAGGCTTTATCCCCCAAGAATGACTTGTATATCCATAAATTTCCAACATACATTCTGGAATCAAACAATAATAAAGAATGACTTTGGAAAAAATTCCAATGGATATTTTGGTACATAATATACAGCTTATCAACCATGACTCTACTCATACAAACATTAAAAAATGGGAAAATGAAGCATTTGATATGTGAAATAATACAGCATAACAAGATTTTCATCTATGGACACTAAGGAACAAGAAGTAGGAAAATGACTTAAAACTCAGGTATGAATCTTGTCTGCCTTGATATGTAAATACTAAAGAGAGGAAGTTTCCTTGGATTCAGGATGATTAAGAGAATGTTTGCTTTTGCCCTGATTATTAGCTTTAAATTAATAGGAAACCCATGCAGTTACTGATGATTCTTCATATATCATGTAAAACTAATACGCAGCAATGTGAAGATCCACAGTGAAAATATAGGATAATAGTAGAAATGATGTTCATTGTGTGTATATGAGCTCATGGGCCGTTCATGAACTTTTCACTTCATGTCTTATTTAGGATCTACTAATGAAATCAACTTACATGATTTTCAATGGTGTTCACACATGGTTTTTGGCACAGGTCTGGTTAATGAATTTTCTTAAGGGATGTTCGTCCTTAGCACAGTTATGGTATGGACATCAATGACATCATGACACATGAGGCATGAGAAGATGATTTTCATAACATGTTTTCCAGACTCTGTGTGTCATATCATGAGGTTCTCAGATGCAGAGCCTTGACTTGAATATTTCTGGTTCCTCCAGGGAATATTACAAAGGACAGAAAGAACTGGAAGATATGAGTGGCTTCCCTGCTAAGCAAAAAGAATCAGATAGATACATATGTGTAGGCAGAAGTTTCTTAGTCCCACCTGGCCCTGCAGTCCCGCAGCCACTTATAAATAATCACTCAGAGGTTTAAATTAATTATACACTGTATGGACTATTGTAGATGTAACCAACCGTCTTATTAAAATAAGAAACACAAAACCAATGTAAAAGAGAAAGCCGAGAGGTCAGAGCTCAGAGCTAAAATCTTACCTCCTGCAGTGTTCCTAGCTTCCCTGAAAGAGAGCTACTTCCTGTGTGTATATCTTTAAATAGTCTTTCTGTTCTGCCTTCTCATTGGTTGTAAACCCAAACACATGACTGCCTCATCACTGCCTGTAAGTACTGCCCTCCAGGTCTTAAAGGCATATGTCTCCAATGCTGGCTGTATCCCTGAACACACAGAGATCCACCTAGCTCTTCTACCAAGTGCTGGGATTTAAGGCATGAGTCGCCACCACCACCGCCACCACGCTCTTGCTATGGCTCTAATAGCTCTGACCTCCAGGCAACTTTATTTATTAACATACAATGAAAATCACATTTCAGTACAAATAAAATACCACCATAGACTATAGGTCAGGATTCTTACTAGCTAGCTCTTATAACTTAACTCAACTCATTTCTATTAATCTATATGTTGCCATGTGGCCGTGGCATTACTGGTCTTTTGACATCTTGTTGTTCCTTTGGTGGCAGGCTGATGCCTTCTCCAACTCCACCCTTCTTCGTCTTTTCTTCAGTTCAAATGTACTAAATAACTTTATCCTGCCCTGCCATAGGCAAATGCAGCTTTATTTATCAACCAATTAGAACAACACATATTCACAGCATACAGAAAGACATCTCACAGCACATTTCCCAGCTAGCTCAGTCGGTAGAGAATGGGTCATGGGTTCTTGCCCCATGCTGGGCACCAGATAAGCAATAAATCCAGAGGAGTCTGTTTAAGAAGTACTAGGGAGCCAACACCACTGCACTGGAATAAAAACTCCAGTGGTTCTGGGGTTCTAGCAACATTTGTGTCTGTTCTCCATACTATTTCACAATGTTTTATAACAAGCTGATGTTACATTCATGAACAGAAAAGGCTGCTTTAAAAAAAGTCCTTCATGTGGCTGGGCGGTGGTGGCGGCGCA